TTCCATTATAAATGCAAAGCAAAACATACAGTAGAAATGCATAACAGAAACTCATCAGAGGGTGAAATTAATCACAATTATCAAATGATCAATTCTTTATGAAAGAATAAATCATGTTCGATAATAGCAAGCAGGTAGGGGCTTCATTGTTGGAGGCTTCATTTGCCTAAGATCCAATTATAAGACAAAGAAAGTGACAAAAGAATAATTGTTTTTGACTCAAGCAATCAAAACAATCAACCAGACATGCTATTATAGCAGGGGGAACGTCCTAATGATAAAAGGGACATCGAATAATTTGCAACATAAATTGCACAATGCAGGGCCTAAAATCAAAATTTTGACAAATAACCTTATTATTTCTAGTTACACCAAATGATATTGCCTGATACTGAAGAGTTTCACTACCTGCCATAGCATCCAACTGCTCCTTAGTTAGGTCCTCAGTGAACTGGACATTTGCCATTTGTTGAATCAGCTCCTGACAATCACAGAAATGCTAATTATTGATTTCTACCCTTAGGCCATATCCATGGATTTAAATTTAATATTTAGAACTTAACATACCTGCAGGAGAACAAGCTCAATTCCTTGCCCCTTTTTTAACTGATTCACTAGATACTGGAAGAGACCTCTCAACTCCATTGATGGGTATTTCTTACACCTACAGACAAGAGGAAATTGTTTTAGTAAAATCTAAAATGTAAACACAAATAAGCTTCGTTAAAAGTCAACAAAAGACTTACAAATCTAGTCCAGTCTAAACTAAATGATAAATAAACAGGAAACACTGCATTTAACAGATTAAGCTCCTTTATTTAGAGTATTAATAAACTAAAAAGGCAAGCCAACCAAGGATGAGACTAAGCAAATGGAAATTCAAAAAAACCAAGCATAAGAGAATCAATCAAATAGAAGTTGCTATTGTAGCTAGGATTGTCCCAAAGGCACCCGACCAACCCTTAAAAAAAATTTCTTGTTTCGTAAATTAGGACTGCAAGCTTAAATAGTTCAGCATAAGCATGAAGAAAAATGGTCTCCAAAATGTCTACTGTAACCATTAGAGAGGCTAGAAGCAACAGCAAGAACAGTTGGTTGCAACTGGTAGTAATTATCTTCTCCATACTCTTTAGGTATTGGATTCTACCTCACTAATTTTCCCTCAAGTCCCATTATCTTGCTTGATTTAACTTCTATAGGAAGTTGAATCTTTGTATGACTAGGAACCATATGTTATTGAAGTGCAAGCACTGCTTTCTCATTGTCAAAACTACCTGATCAATCTTCTTGTCACCATTGTATTGTGACAATAGAAGCAAGAATGAGGAGCCTGGTAGATATCCTGAACAGGGGGCATCTCAAGCATTTCAACTGGCTAGTGACTATCCTAATTGGGATCAACTCCTTTTTCTTTTTCCCATTTTTATTGTTTCGAGATGAAAAAATAGCTCGCCTGCATTTATTTTGAAGAAAATAGATGAACAAAACTAGATGCACAAAGAAATCAATTAAAAGAAACAACAAATCATACTCAACATACCTTAAAATGAAAGATTTTTATTGTTACTCTTGCTCTTCTTCCTTTCCATCGAAGATTTGGCATAAAAACTTGAAGATATCTAAAGAACAAATGAATTGAGGAAATAAAGGAAACAAAAATGAAAGACAAACTATATATAACCAGATTCCTAGAAATTATATGCATTTGAAATAAGAAACGAAAATTTTAGGCCTTCGCATATTTGCAATTGATTGAAAATAGAGGAAAGAACTTAAAATTTTAGGGTTTGACAAACATTTTGCAGATGATGAAAATCACCAGTTGTTGCTTGCTTCCCCAAATTGTTGTGGAAAAACACAAACAACTACATAAATTCACATTCCTTGCTTTCCCTTCTATCTCCTAAAATTCTAAAACCTTAAAAACCAACTAAACATACCAAAGAATCAAATGAAGTAAATAATGAAGCAAGTAACAAAGAAAGCAGCACGAAGTCTCCAAAAATAATGAAGAGGATCAAATCAATTGAATCGGCCATGGAGAAGGATCAGGAAACCTAAGAACTAAGAAGCTGAAATCCCTAAAATGGATAACAAAAAATGCGAGAAACTTACTGGAAAGGATCGATTGAAAGCAGAAGCACAAGGATCGATTCAAGCTTTTGCTTCAAAATTCGATCGAGAAACCAAAATCGAACTAACCGGAGAAATTTTGAGTGAACGGAGGATCTGATTTGAAGAGCCGAGAAGTAAAATTCGAGGGACGAAGGGAGATTTTGCAGAGGGATGGAAATGTGGGTAGGATGAAACCTGCTGGGATTGTTATACGTTATGATAAATATTTGTCCTCGAGAGTCAAGACCATCAACAGCGTTTTAATTAAAACGCTAGAAATGGGAAGCAAAGGCCCAACCTTTTAAAGAAAAACGCTGTCGTTAATGGTTTAAACGTAGCGTTCATATAAAACGCCAAAATTTGCAGGAAACTTGTTCGACCAATACTTACCTAACTAATAAGGTGCAAATTAGGATGTCAATTTTATTTTTTTTATTTAAAAATATTAATTTTATTAATTTTTAAATAATGATATTAATTTTTAATTTTTTTAAAATAAAAATATCAGTTTTTAACCCTTTTTTTTTTTAAAAATTAGTTTCTTGCTGATACGACGTGACTAACATGTTTTTTTAAGTTAAATGTCTGAATTGGTCTTTCAATTTTTATTTTTAAACCAATTCATCCTTAAACTTTAGAAAGTATCAAAAACATCCTTCAACTTCAATTTTCAGCACCAATTTCATCTTTCCTACCAATTAAGTGTTGATGTAGCTAATTTTTCCTTTAAGTGATTGACTATTTTACATTTTCAATACTATGTGGAAAATCCATCACGTAAAAGATAATTATGTGAATTTTTTAATTTTAAATAATTTAAAAATTACTTTAATTCTTAATTTTACTTTATTTATATTTAAAAATTAAAATAATTAATATCTTTTCCCATATAATTAATCACACCTACCATAAGTAACTCTTAATTTATAAAGAAATAAATTAACTCTCATTTAATTTTATTAAATCAAATCTCACCTACTATAATTATTCCCTAATTCATGGAAGAATTAATTAACTTTTATTTAATTTTATTAAATGGAATTAAAATAAAATTAAAATAATTTTTTGGTTCTT